GGGTGACCTGGACTGGCTACTCTTACTTGGACTCAGATCCATGACAATGGCATGCATCTTGAGCTGCCACCCCCCACCGAACTAACACCTTCACACCAATTAAAATTGGTGGAAATAAATTTTTAAACTGGACTTCCAGTCAGGGGAAAGCCGTTGAGCTAAGCGTGCAAAAAAAATTCAAAACGCACGTTGTTGTCGTTTGGACGTCAGACTTGACCAGACTTCGAATAATAGATGTCACCTAATGCCATTGCGCTATCCCCCCGGTCATGTGACGTGCTGACGTCAGGATACCTGGTTACCAAGTTGCTAACCTTGGTTATTGCATATAACCTCATTTAATAATAATATACATGAAAGTTTCTCAATTCTGAGGGCAGTGCAATTTTTAGAAATACAGTGCCAAAAAAGGAAATACAGTGCCAAAATTAAGGGAAATACAGTGCCAAAATTAAGGGAAATCAGTGCCAAAAAATTAAATACAGGATCGTCTTTGAAAAACTCACTCGTGCATGTTTTCCCAAATTGCACTGGAAAACCATACTATTACTATACAAATTCAATACCTATATTGTTGACCTTTGACTTTGTATAACTATAAGCTTTCTTTTCATGTATTATTTGTAATTTTAAACTTATTTTCTGCAAAATATCAAGTTCTATCGATGTCTAAGCAGAACCGACAAAGCCGGTCTCTGCACATATTTCGGACTATCAGTGTACAATCTACAACTCCATATAACACAATAAATACCATGGGCATGGGCATGGGAAAACGAAGTCAACAACATACTTATGTATACTGGACCTTTCAACTTGATATTTTTACGCCTAGCTTTATCAACCATATTTCAACAAGCTTCAACACAATTCGCATCATGCACAATTCAGCAAGTGTACTTATCAAGACTACGCAAAAAAGGACTGGGAGGTTGTGAAGATATCTTGGGAAAGACCTTTTACGAAATACTTTGTCATGCATACATCCATACAAACCTTCAAGAGAAGCATTGTAACAAAAGGACATAGCTTGGGTTTCTTCAAATTGCAATCCCTTCATTGCCAAAAGTATAAAAATACATCGAAACGTCAGAAATTTAAACAGAAGCACGAAATCAACCATTGTTCCTTCTTTTAACTACATAGAATCAAACAAAATGAAGAAGTTGGTGCATATGCTTATGCGCGGTATATATTACTGAGTAAGTCATCCAAACTGACCAAAACTAATCATAAGTATTTTTTTGCAGCTAACTACACTGCTGTGACAGCTAGTTGATCATGTTTTGCTCGTCGTGTTAATTGCGCATTTAGCTGGTATCCAACTTAGCTGATAATTAGCCCCCCGCTCCCGCAAAATAAAAGCTGTTCTGCCTCCACTGCATTTGGATGGTCAGTGAAAACTCTAAATTGGCTTATTCTCAAGTGAAAAACTTAACTTCAGAATATTCGAGTTGAGACCCTAAAAACTTAACTTCAGAAAATTCGAGTTGAGACCCTTAATTGAAATAGGTTTTCAGGTTTAATTAGCGCTTAGAAACTCTTTGAATAAATTATTATAAATTATGCAGGCACTAGAAATAATGCACGCTACAACCCCTCGCCTATATTTTCCAAACATTGTTTCAACACGAGGTATTTTAAATTACATCAACATCGAACAAAAAAACTGAAAAAATTTTTTACAAATTATTGTGTGGAATGATTTCCCTAACTTTCTTACATGTTTTCTTTCTTTGAATTATACACATTAGCTGTCATTTAATGTCGTGGAGGGGTGAATGAATAATATACTGTATAATATCATAGCTATGTCGAAATCCTTTGTTTCGCGAGGGACGAGCTGAGTGCTGAGCTGCTTAGTGCCGAGCTGCTTCAATCAATTAGCCAATGAGAGAGTTGTTCATGCGACTTCGAACAAAATGGAGCAAAATGCAAACGATTTTGTCAATTATGTGGTTGTTGAGTAGTTTTCCCAACGTGTGCGGTGAAAACGCATAGCCGCCACGCGAGTCGGTTAGCTCAGCAAGTTTCCCTCGTGTGCAGCAGGCTTACTGTCGTTCCAATTGAAGTGTTCCTCAAATATTGATTCAATACTGCTGACCAATTCATACGAATTCAAATTTCTTTTTACTTCCTGTGCGTTTCCTATTGGTCAATCGGTTCTGAAACGAAATCTAATTGGCTCATTTAAAAGTAACAGGAAGTTGATCAATTTTCTATCAAATGAATTGGTCAGCCTGAGGTAATGTATTGAATCAATATTTGAGGAACACTTCAATTGGAACGACAGTAACGAACATCCCAATAGGCAATAGTATAAAAAAACAACGCCTTTTCATTTCAACTTATTCGTTTTATTGTCTCGGTATATAGCTATGACATTACAAATAGCATGGCATTACGGTCGATTAGTGATGAAATGTCCCTCATGACCTAGGTTTAGTAAAAGTCTTTTACTAAACCTCTCTCAGCTTTCGGGTGCATTTAATCACTATATAATCGCCCTGAATGCCATGCGCTATTACTTATAAGAAATATAGGCTGTTATTTCCGCGACTCTCTGTACTAACGTTATATAAGCTATACTATACCTATAGCTACAGAACTTAATATTATTAAAAATATTTAATATAATTCAGTTGAACAAGAAATGGTTTCTAACCGACAAAGCGTTGCTTACCTTTACGTAACCTTCTTTACTCCATTAACTGTGACGACATGGCAATTATATTAAACAGTCTTTCTACATATTGCAATTAGTACTCCCAATTTAAACAGTCTCGCTACATATTCCAATTAGTACTCCCATGTAATTACAACAAATGCACCTGCATGTTTATAGGCCTAGATGTGCATTCTGTAGTATAGGTAATCGCATGGGGCCGAGTAAAATTGAGGTTTAATTTCAGGCGTGTTTTCAAAGTTTCACAAATTGCACAAGTCGCGAAGCGACGAGGGCAATTTGTGAAACTATATGAAAACACAAGTGAAATTAAAGCTTAATTTTACGAGGAAAAAAACACACAAGAGACATGCACTCATGCAGAAGGAGTATCCTTCTGCGTGCATGTCTCTTGTGTGTTTTTTTTCCAAATTGCACAAATCAACTGAGAATTATCTGAATACATACAAATCATTTTATTCCTCAATAGTATAATAAAAAGTGACAGTTCGGCAAAACGTCAATGGGTATAGAATTTTTAAGAAATATTGTTAGCATATACCACAGTGTACTGGGATTGCCAGTAAATGGGGCCGAAAACAGGTTTCAACTCATTTTAATTATCAAAATATATGGAAAATTACAAAATAGTAGATTTAGGTATTAAAACACTATTTTCCTTCGCACGCCATCTTAGCTCTCATGCGCATGCTCTAACGAAACGTAAATAAACATCGTCCAAAAGGCGATCGCAGAGAGATTATTGTCTACAACCCAATACACCGGAAGGACTGGGGTCGATGCGATCGCATCTTAAAATCTGAATGTAAATTTCTCTAATGCATTGTTCACTCAATCGAGTATATAATGTCACTGTCCGTTCATACGCTCTCTTTTACTTCCGACGTTGTTTCCTGGTCTTGATTCATATTCACTGGTAAATAACGATAATCGTTGCGCACTTCGCGACACAATGACAGCCTCGTTATGTCCTTTGTATTTCTGTACCTTTTCTCCAATTTGAAAATTCTTGTACATGACATTTACTCGACGAACTTTTCCGTCTTGACTGGGAAACACTTCTTGTACTATACCTAAACGGTAATCTCCTCGCAAGGTATTACGGTCGGCGATTATTACAACATCTCCTGGGCGCAGGTTACAGTTGGCTGTATTCCACTTGCGACGAATAACCAAGGCTGGGGCGTATAACTCCGTCCATTTCTTCCAGAACTCGTCTGTCACGATCTGGACAACATGATAACGCTTTCCTGGATTATTACCGTTAGGCTGCCATCCACCAGGATTCTTCGCCGTTGCTCTGCCCAGTAACAAGCTGTTGGGAGTAAGGATGTTTAATTCGGAATCAGCGCTCGGGAGGGTTCCGATAGGTCTTTCATTGAGGTGGTTCGTGGCTTCGATACACACCGTCATGAACTCTTGGACCGAAAGAGGTTGGTTATTGATTGCGAAATGAATAGCTCTCTTGGCACTCTCCACCAGGGATTCTACAGCTCCTTGGTACCAAGGACTATCAGCGGGGCCGAAGATCCAGGTCAATCCATCCTCTGTGCCACTTTTATGTAGGGATTGTCGGTCAATGCTCTTCCAGGTTTCAGTGAGTTCTCTTTCCGCACCAATTAGTTGTGATCCGGGATCACTATATATGATTTCGGGCCAACCACGAACGCTGACGAATCTGCTGTGGGCCATTAGGAATGATTCGGTATCGTACCCGAACACAGCTTCAATGTGGACTGCTCTCATAACTAGATCTGTGAAGATTACTCAGTACGCTTTACCACTTGTTCTTTTCTGTACTTCTCCACGAACCGAGTAGGGTCCGAAAAGGTCTATCATAACGTGATTGAAAGCTGGAGATGGTTTCAATCTTGCTTCCGGTAGTTGTCCTATTTGCTGCTCGAGGAACTTTGCTTCTCGTAGCTTGCATATCTGACATTTACTCTTGATTGATTGAGCGAGTTTGCTTCCTTGGGTTACCCAGTAGAGTTGACGGAATCGTGCTAAGGTTGCATCAACGCCCTCTATGACTAATCTGGTAACATGATGTTGGTAGGGCAATAGCTTTTGCAGCGAAGAATCCACTGTCATGGGATTTTTGTTCTTCAGGCGCTGTCCCACTACCCAGAGTCCACTTTCATCTTGGACTGGATTCAAACAAGCGAAACGACCACCTTTTCTGCCTTTGCGGTCAGTTTTTGTCAGTTCACTTTCAAATGATTTCTGAACTTCTTTAACAATAAAGTTCTCGGCTTCTTGTAATTGCTTAACCGAGATGGACAGAGTCTTTCCGCCTTTAAAACTTTTCTTCTTCGCAATGTTTAGCAATCTGGCGACGACCCAAATAGCTTCGCTGATACTGCTGAAGCGTTCATAGTCGATCAACAATGCCTCTATGCTCGATGCTGCTGCAACATGGACTTTCTTTTCACCGGGAAGTGGTTCTTTCTTTGGGTTTAACTTTAATCCCCATTCTTCTATCGGTCGGTATAGAATCGGCGGTCCATTCCACCAATGAGAATCGTTGTTCAGCTCCTCTGGTGCTCTGCCGCGTGTCAACCAGTCAGTTGTATTATGTTGGCCTGACATCCAAGCCCAGCAAGTCAGATCTCCGTCAGTTGCTGCTTGGATTTCTCCGATTCGTACTCCCTCGTAAACTTTGAAACGTGTGCTTGTCTTGTGGATCATACTCAAGACTGTTTCTGAGTCCACGATTTGTAAAATTCTCTCGAAGTCGAACCTCATTTCTTTCTCGATGACCTTTCTTCCTCTTTTCGACAGAACAGCTGCGTTTAACTCCATCTGAGGGGTAGATAACTTATTGATTGGAGCAATACGACACTTCGCCATGATCAACCTACACCAGTAGCTTCCATCATCCAATTTCCATCGAATGTAAGCTGCGAAGCCATACGCGAGATCACTACCATCGCTCAAGATTATTAACCAAGGGCGTCCATCACTATTCACAGGTCGTAAGCATCGCTCCAATCACAAACGCTGAAGTTTGAAAAGAGCAGTGAAGAAATTGGACCATTTGTTGCAAAGTTCTGCTGGAAGTGGGTCATCCCATCCGAGCTTGCGGGACCAGGTTTCGCGTAAGTATATCTTGGCCATCAATGTAAATGGAGAAATTAGTCCGAGTGGGTCATAAATCTTCATTACTTGCTCAAGAACGATTCGTCTGGTTAACACATTCGGTAATGCACTTGGTAGGTCGCTTTCTAGCAGGTTTGGACAGGTTCGAACTCCGCGTCTCTTGCTACTGAAATTCAAAGTTACTTCATAGGTGATGGTGTCTTTCTTCGGATTCCATCCCAGACCGAGCACTCGTAAGTT